GGGTGGGGGTAAGGAGTGGCAAACTGGTCCATTGAGAAAACCTCTGCTTTAAACCCACCAGTGCAGAGCAGCCTGGCAGATGTATGCAAGCTACATCATTTGTCTGCTTCCCGCCCTGCACAGGCTCCCAATTGCCTTCAGGAGAAATTCCAACACTTGGTGAAACCATACAGTACCCTTCAATGTTAAGGGTCCTGGTCGCTCCCTTTACTCCCTGCCTTTGCACTCTTCGCTCTGGTTCTGCTCCTTTGTATCCCCACCCTCGTGCTCCCTACTTGCAACATTCTCCCCCAAGTTGTCTTATAAACTCTACCCAAACTTCAAGACTTGGCTTAGCGAAGACTTCATCCAGAAACTTACCTAAGCCTTTCCTTCCTGCCCACCCCCAACTCAGTGCTGAGTCAAGGCCCACCTCTGTGCTCCTTCTGCAGACTCATTGCTCCCTCTGACTGTGACATCCTGCAGGGTAGGGCCTGGTATGTAGCATTTGCTCAAACAAAAACTGCTCTTCCAAACAAGTGGCATAAAGGTGGACGCTATGTGTCAGATGCTACTGTTGCATACAAAAGGAAGACAGAAAACATGTTTGTACATGTATGTGCATAAGATGGTGGCGCAGGTGCAGGGCTGGGGATTGGAGCAAGTCTTTTTACCACATCCCTTACATTGTTGGATTTCTGAGCTATGTGACGATGGCATTCATTTTTAAACCTTAAAAATAATAAAAGCAAACGAGGGGATGGAATGGTGATGCAGCAAGTTAAACAGCTGCTTGCAAAACCGGCATCCCACACTGGGGCACCAGTTCAAGTCTCAACAGCTCTGCTTCCGATCCAACTCCCTGCTAATGTGCCTGAGAAGACTGCAGAAGATGGCCCAAGTACTTGGGTCTCTGCCACCCATGTGGGAGACCCCAACGGAGTTTCAGGCTCCTAGCTTAGCCTGGCCTAGCCCTAACCACTAGCCTGGCTCAGCCCTAGCCACTGGGCACTTGGGGAGTAAATCAGCAGATGGAAGAGTTCGCTCTGCCTCTCCCTAACTCTACCTTTAAAATAAAAATAAATCTTTTTAAAAAAGCAATCAGTACCATTTGCAACAGCTAGAGAAAAAAAATTAAATACCTTGGAATAAATTTAACCAAGGATGTGAAAGATCTCTACAATGAAAATTATAAAACCTTAAAGTAATAGAAGATACAAAAAATGGAAAAATCTTCCATGTTCATAGAATTGAAGAATTAGTATCATCAAATGTCCATATTTGCCAAAGCAATTTGCAATGCAATCCCAATAAAAATACCAAGGACATTCCTCTCAGATCTAGAAAAACCAATGCTAAAATTTATATGGAAACATAAGAAACCCTGAATAGCTAATTTTTTTCTTTTTAAATTTCTATTAATATAAAGAGAACAGATTTCATGCATTTCATAGGTACAGCTCTAAGATAACCATACTTCCCTCCCAACCCCTTGCTCTTCCTATCCACCTCCTTCCTTCCCTTTTCTTTTCATTAATTTTTGCTAAGGTATAATTTAATTGTGGTTCTTAGCCCTTGTTTATACTCCTGTAGAACTGTGGTATTTCTATTTTATACTTGTTGAATATTATGGTTAGTGATGCATTAATCCTGTGATTATAGAGTGGATTGAAACTATGTTTTTGCAAAAATTGAAGAAAAAAAGAAAGGAAAGGGGGGGATTGAGGGAAGGAAAGAGTGAGGGAGCGAAGTATAGTTACCTTCTTAGAATAGTACCTATGGAGGCTGGTGCTGTGGCGCAACAGGTTAACGCCCTGGCCTGAAGTGCCGGTATCCCATGTGGGCGCCTGTTCGCGACCCGGCTGCTCCTGTTCTGATCCAGCTCTCTGCTATGGCCTGGGAAAGCAGTAGAAGATGGTCCAACTCCTCGGGCCCCTGCACCCACATGGGAGACCTGGAAGAAGCTCCTGGCTCCTGGCTTCAGATCGGCACAGCTCTGGCTGTTGCGCCCAATTGGGGAGTGAACCATTAGATGGAAGACCTCTCTCTCTGCCTCACCTCCCTGTGTAACTCTTTCAAATAAATAAATCTTTAAAGAAAAAGTACCTATGAAATACATGAGATTGGTTCTTTATATTAATTAAAAATTTTTAAAAAGTGGCATTGTTTTCCTTAACAGGTGATAGAAGGATGTGAGGTCAGTGGCTTAACCACATCTATTAGAATTGCTGTAAGAAAACACTTGTAGAGGCAGGTGTTTGGACTAGCAGCTAAGCTACCACTTGGGCCACCACCGTATCGGAGTGCCTGGGTTCAAGTCCTGGCCACACTCTCAATTCCAACTCCCTGATAATGCTCACCCTAGGAGGCAGCAGGTGATGCTTCTAGTGGGGGCGCTGCCACTCACCTAGGAGACCCAGCCCCAGCCACTGCAGGCATTTGGTGAGTGAACCAGCAGACAGAAGCACTCTCTCTGCCTCTCAAAAAAAAAAAAAAAACCTCATAATTGTTTTCACAATCAAGAGAAACCCAGGCCACATACCACACAATCATCATCTTGCATCTGAATGTTTTAATCTGGTCACTCCACGGCAGTAAAGTACAAAAACAAAGCTCAATTTCACAGCATTTTCATATAAAAAGGAGAGGTGAAAAAATTTGAATCCTGTCACGTTATAGCCCCCAGCTATACAGACCTGACATTTGTCTAAGAAGTTCAACTCATTGGATAATCCCCACCTACAGGCAAAGTGAACAAGTGACAGAAACTAAAACAACAGATTCAGTAATAGATTTATTAATATTGTCAGTCTATATCCAAAACTCCCTACCTGTACTACTCACCCTCTTTTGTCCTTTCCAGGAATAATTCTCCTAACTATTAATTAAATAAATGAGGGCTGTAAAGCAATGACTACAGGCTGTAATCCTAGTGATAGCTTTGGCATACTCTCATAGGGTGGCACAAGACAGACTATTACTCTAAGTGGGAATACCACCAACTTCCTTCTGTGAGCCCTATTCTGCAAAATGAGATCAGTGGAAATCACACACAGTATAGTTAAAATCATCATTAGATCAGATATTAAACTGGATACAAGATTGAGATGAAAAAGTTTAGTGTTCTCATCTGGAGGTCCTGATGCCATCTATGATGCGACTGTACACACACGGCATATCACTGCCTAGATAGTAGTTACACCTTTCAGATCTTCCTATTATTTGGTTACCATTTAAAAAAAAAAGATTTATTTGAAAGGTAGACTCAGGACAGACAGAATGAGACCTTCCATCCACTGGTTCACTCCCCATATGCCCACAACAGGCAGGTCTGGTCAAGGCTGCAGACAGGAGCAAGGAACTCCATCTGGGTATTCCACAAGGGAGGCAGGCACCCAAACACTTGCACCATCCTCCACTGCTTCCCTAGGCACATTAGCAGGAAGCTGGATCACAAGTGGAGCAGCTGGGACTTGAACCAGTGCTCATATGTGATGCCTTCATCACAGGCGGCAGCCTAACCTGCTGCACTAGGCCCAATTTGGTAATTTTTTTTTTTCAGTATATCTGCTGACAAAGCAAGCACTATTTAGTTACCTTTAATCTAAATGTGCAACTCTAAGCGGTCAACGCATACTCACTCATTTTAATAAAGCACTTGATTGCTGATGTGCTCTATATTGAGACAAAAATCAATGCTTAGGTGCATATTATGTTAGATACCATACAGAATGCATAAAATTTGAAGATGCAGTGTCAGTTGTAAAAGTGTCCTAACTAGAATTTTAAATACTATAGGATCCACTCCAGAAAGGAAATAGGAAAAAATACTACTTTTTCTGTATTTTCTTAGTTATCTCTAAAGAAACAATGTTTTTGTGATATATTAATATCTATTACAATGGTAGCAACTACCATCTTTGAAGTATTACATGTCAGGCACACAGAGATGGATGCTTGGTGTACATTATGTCTAATTTTGCAAACCTCAGCTGCCTTTTCTTTTTTTAAAGATTTATTCATTTACTTCAGAGGTAGAGCTACAGACAGGGTCTTCCATCCGCTGGTTCACTCCCCAAACGGTTGCAATAGCTGGAGCTGGACCTATCCAAAGCCAGGAGCCAGGAGCTTCTTCCAGGTCTCCCACTTAGGTTCAGGGGCCCAAGCACTTGTATGATGTTCCATTGCTTTCCCAGGCCACAACAGAGAGCTGGATCAGAAGGGGAGCAGCCAGGATACGAACCAGTGCCCATATGGGATGCTGGTGCTGTAGGCGGAGGCTTTAGCCCACTATGCCACAGCGCTGGCCCCAGTTGCCTCCCTTTTTAAGTGACAAAACTAGATTGGGTAAACCACTTCATCTTCTGAAGCACACTTTTGTTTTGAAGTACACTTTTTTTAAGATTTATTTATTTGAAAGGCAGAGTTATAGAGAAAGAGGGAGAAATCTTCCATCTGCTTGTTCAAACCTCAAATGGCCCCAACAGCCAGGGCTGGGCCAGGCCGAAGCCAGGAGCTTCATGCAGGTCTCCCACACTGGTGCAGGGGCCCAATACTTGGGCCATCTTCCACTGCTTTCCCAAGTGCAGCAGCAGGAAGCTGGACTGGAAGTGGAACAGCCAGAACATCACAGGCAGTGGCTTAACCAGCTGTACCATGATGCTGGACCTTGTAGTAAACTTCAAAAAAGAAATGCTTTAAGACTAGCATTGTGGTATAGTGGGTAAAGCCAACACCTGCAATGCCAGCATCCCATATGGGCAGCAGCTCAAGTCTCGGTTGCTCCACTTCCCATCCAGCTCTCTGCTAATGTACCTGGGAAAGCAGAGGAAGATGGCCCAAATACCTGGGCCCCTGCTACCCACATGGGAGATCCTGATGAAGCTCCTGGCTCCAGGCTTTGGCCTGGTTCATCCCTGGTCATTGCAGCCACCTAGGAGTGAACCAGTGGATGGAAGATCTCTCTGTCTCTCCTCTCTAACTTTCAAATAAATAAATAAATACTCTAAAAATTAAAGAAATGTTTTTGATTTTTTTCAATTAACTTTTATTAAGTACTATATAACACATTGCATGTTACATAATACATTACACAACCTTCTAACAGGGGTAGATGACCATAAATGAGTTATTTTTCATCAATCAGGAAAATGCTTCTTTAATCAATGTTCTCCAAACCCTGAAAAAAAGTTTAAAAAAAGAACATGAGAATTTGCCATTCAAGATGTTTTCATTTCCAAATAGCACTCTGTTACTAAAGGAAGTGTGTTTATATCCCACATTTCTTTCAAATATATAACTGTTTATAAAAAGGCCCTTCCCCCACCCAGTCAGAACAACTATTTTCCACCAGAATCCTCCTTATATATAGCACCTTCAATGAGAGAATAAAGCGGAATCTATTCTATAAGATAACAGCCCACATGTGGTAGATACTATTATTCCCATCCCATATTTTGTAAGATTGAGGACATGGGCTCAGAGAGGTCACTTGCTTAAGTCAGCAAGGAAGTAACAGAATTCTAGTCTAGGGTTCCAAACTCCAGAACACTTGCCCTATAAACAGTACACTATTTATTTAAAAGACTCAGTTCACAACCAAATACTGTCAACTAAAATATTAATCAGTGATGACATTTCCTCTAGGTATTAAAATAACAGTTTAGCTATTTCATTTACTACTGCAAGATAATCATCTTGAGAGAAGTTACAATTACATATTCCTAGGAGTTACCTCTTAAAAACCCTCATTTTATTTCACATGTCTGGTAATTCTCATAGCTATCCTTGAACCATACTTGGACAAACACAACTCTAGGTAACCAGATAAAAGAGTCCCCCTCTCATTCAGGAAGGATCTGTTCTAAGACCCTCAGTGAATACCTGAAACCACAGACAGCACCATGCTGTATATACAGTATTTTTCCCTATACATAACATACCTATGATGAAGCTTAATTCATAAATTAGGCACAGTAAGAGATTAACAGTAATAATAAAATAGAGCAACCTATAATGTACTGTAAAAGAAAACGCCTAAGTTTTAAATAACTTATTTCTGGAACTTTCCATTAATATTTTCAGATTGCAGCTGATAGCGGGCAACTGAAACTGTGCAAAGTGAAACCACAGACAAGGGAGGACTACTGTCTACCACCACAGCCATTAGGTTAGATTCACAAACAGCACTGAGAGGGAGATAACTTAGGATGAATCCTTATAATGTTATTTAATCACTCGGAACCTCTGCTTTCTCATCTATAAAATGGAGACAATATTTACCTATTTGCAGTGAAGAATAAATGAGCAATAAGATATGAAAACATAACTGGGATGGGCATTTGGCACATCAATTAAGACTAAACTCAGAATGCCCACATCTTCTATCAGAGTGTCTGGGTGGAGTCTCAGCTCTGCTCCTGATTCCAGCTTCCTGCTAACATGGACCATGGGCTGCAAGAGGCAACAGCTCAAGTACTTGGGTCCCTGCCATCCATGCAGAACTGGATCGAGTTCTTGCCTCCCAGGCTTTTGGGGAACAAACCAGTGGCTGGGGGGTTTCCATCTCTCTTTCTGCTTCTCAAAATAAATTTTTTAATAAGATTTGAAAGGCAGTTACAGAGAGGCTGAGGCAGACGTGAGTGCAGGGGCCCAAGGACTTGGGCCATCTTCTACTGCTTTCCCAGGCCATAGCAGAGAGCAGGATCAGAAGTGGAGCAGCCAAGACTTGAACCAGCACCTGCCCATATGGGACGCTAGCACTGCAGGCAGAGGCTTTACCTACTACGTCACAGTGTTGGCCCCAAAAGATTTTTTTTAAAGTAAACATTTTTTGAGGGGCAAATGTTTTGTCTACTAAGATTCTAGTTGAGTGGGGCCAGCATTGTGGCAAAGCAGGTTAAACTGCCACCTATGAAGCTGGCATCCCATACGGGTGCCAGTTCAAGCCCTGGCTGCTCCACTTCTGATCCAGCTCCCTGCTAATGCACCTGGGAAAGCAGAAGATTGCCCAAGTACTTGAGCCTCTGCACCCACTTGGGAAATCAATATGAAGCTCCTGAATTCTGACTCCTGGCTTCAGTTCAGCACAGCTCTGGCCACTGTGGCCATTTGGGGAGTGAGGAACCAGATAGAAGATCTCTCTCTGTGTCTCCCTCTCTCTCTGTAACCCGACCTTTCAAATAAATAAACAAACCTTATTTTAAAAAATATGCCAATGAAGACCTTAGGAGGGAGCAGTCATGGCTCAAGTGACTGGGTTCCTGTCAGCCACATGGGAGACCAGGATTCAGTTCCCATTTCCCGGCCTCAGCCCAGCACAGTCCAGCCCAACCATTGCAAGCATTGTAAGGGTGAACCAGCAGATGGAAGCACTGTCTCTCTGTCTCTCAAATAATTTTTTTTCAAAAAATTATGAAAATGAATTACAAGATATAAAAATGTACCATTAGATTGAGCCATATGAAAATGCTACTACTAGGGCTGCCACTGTGGCATAAAGGACTAAGTAGCCACCTGTGATGCTGGCATCCCATATGGCAACTGGTTCAAGTCCTGGCTGCTCCACTTCCGATCCAGCTCCCTGCTAATACCCTTGGGAAAGCAGCACAAGATGACCCAAATGCTTGAGTCCCTACACCCACGTGGCAGACCTGAATGAAGCTCCTGGCTCCTGGCTTGGGCTTGGCGCAGCCCCAGCCACTACAGTCATTTGGGGAGTGAACCAGTGGATGGAAGATCTCTCTCTACCTCTCTCTAGGTAACTCTTTAAAGTAAATAAAATAAATCTTTAAAAAAAAATGCTACTTGGCCATATTTGATCTACATAAACTATAATTTCATATGAACCAATTACATGTAAAATTATAATTCTTGGGGCTGGCGCTGTGACAAAGCAGTAAAGCCAATACCTGCAGTGCCAGCATCCCGTACAGGCACCAGTTCGAGTCCCGGCTGCTTCACTTCCAATCTAGCTTTCTGCTATGGCCTGGGAAAGCCACAGAAGATGGCCCAAGTCCTTGGGCCCCTGTACCCGAATGGGAGACCCAGAAGAAGCTCCTGGCTTCAGATCAGTGCAGCTCTGGCCGTTGCTGCCAATCAGGGAGTGAACCAGCAGATGGAAGACCTCTCTCTGTCTCTCCTCTCTCTGTGTAACTCTGCCTTTCAAATAAATAAATCTTTAAAAAAAGTTATAATTCTCTAAATGTAGCACTGTCTCTAAATGTGGTACTGGTGCAGACTAACGGAGTACAGAAGAGTACATCTGTGACACACACCATGAATATATGGAAATTTAGTTGACTAGTGTTTCAAAAAAAACGATTGTTCTATAATTAGGTAATTGTGACAACTGGCTACCACTTGGAAAATATTAAAGTTAAATCTTTGCCCCACATTATATCCCAAACTGACTTGTGGATAGACCAAAGAACTAAATGCTAAAAAAAAAAAAAAAAAAAAAAACACAAACAGTGTTTGGAGAAATTGAACAATATATTTATAGTCTTGAGCAGGAATGGACTTTGTAAAGAAAACATAAAACCCAGAATCTAGAAAGATAAAACATGATAAACTAAACATCAAAATGAAAAACAATTTTCTGATGAAAAACAGCATAAAGTAAAGGCAAACAGCAGACTAGGAAAAATATTTACCATATTAAATAGCTAAAATCCAAAACACATGAAGAACTACAAATCAAAAGGGCAAGAGAGGGACCAGCATATATGTTGTGCAGCAAGTTAACTTGCCATATGAGTATGGGTTTGACTCCCTGCTGCTCTTCTTCCCACCTAACACAGCTGGAAAAGAAGCAGAGGGTGGCTCAAGTGGTTGGGCTCCTGTCACCTGTGGGAGAACCGGATGGAGTGCTGGGCTCCTGGCTTCAGCCTGCCAGGCCACTGTGGCCATTTGGGGAGAGAACCAGCTGACAAAAGATCTGTCTTTCCTTCTAACTCAGACTTTCAAATAAATCTTTAAATAAAAAGGGAGGGGGTGGTGCAAGAGAATAAAGGAGATAAACAGACTATAGAACAGGAAATACAAACGATCACTAAATACAAAAAGTTATTCAACCTCATTAGAAGAAAACACAAATTAAATTAGCACTCTATGACCTTAACAAGGAATTACCAGAACCCACAACATTAGCAAAAGGCTAGCATCAAAGTCATCTTACCTTAGCGACATAGTGACGATTAACTCCAGAGATGCGCTTATCTCTTTGCATCAAACTCCACTGATACTGAAAATGAGCAATCCTTTTTTCCTTCAAATAAAAGACAGACAATTATTATTGCAGTTGAAGATAAGTGATCCAAAAGATGGATATTAGGACTTTTAAAAAGTGACATTCTAGAAAAATGCAATCATCACTTAAATAAAAGCCATGCTAACAATACAAAACCAGGGGTCAGCGCTGTGGCGCAGTGGGTTAACACCCTGGCCTGAAGCACTGGCATCCCATATGGGTGCCAGTTCTAGTCCTGGCTGCTCCTGTTCTGATCCAGCTCTCTGCTATGGCCTGGGAAAGCAGAAGACGGCCCAAGTCCTTGGGCCCCTGCACCAGCGTGGGAGACTCGGAAGAAGCTCCTGGCTTCCGATCGGCCAAGCTCCGGCCGTTGCGGCCAATCAGGGAGTGAACCATTGGATGGAAGACCTCTCTCTCTCTCTGCCTCTCCTCTCTCTTTGTAACTCTGACTTTCAAAATAAAAATAAATATTTTTTAAAAAATACAAAACCAGAATGTCCTAAATAAAATCAGACCAATAAATTTAGGTTGGTAATCCTGACTTCTTACCCTTTCTATTTTAAACAACACCACTGAGGTTTCTCTTCTTACCCGCCCCCCCCCTTTTTTTTAAAGAAACGCTTAACTTGCCTTTTGGAACTCTAAGAAATAACGGTAGATTATACGCAAAGGGCACTCACAAAGCCAAAAGGCAATCAAGTCTAACTGTTCTCTAGAGATGTTGTGAAGGACTACGAAAAGAGTAAAATTTAAATCTTGATGTGAGAAACAGGATCTCCCAGTAAATTCCTAAAGGCTTGCGAGAGAAAGTGAAGAATAAAAAAGCCCAAGGGGGGATTATTGGTAGGAAAGAACCAGAAGCTATAGCGATGTTCATGTGAGAAATTAAAACCAAAATCGAGCAGCAAAGATCAGAAATCTGGGTCACAACAACACCAGCCCGAGTCCCTCTGCCTACGAGTTTGCTGCAGACCTCTTGTAATCCACATTTCAAGTTCCCGAACTGCTACTCTCTCCCACACCGCACCCTTCACCCGCGACAGCAGGATGTGCTTTCTGTGCGACTTTGTTCCGCAAGTCTCCGCTTTTCAACAACACGAAGCGGAGGGCCGATTTTCGTATTCCCAACCTCGGGAACAGGCTCCGCATCTTAACTGCTGGTGCCCCACCCCCGTCTAGGGAAGGCCTATTCCCGGGGCGGGGGAAGCCGCCTTACCTTGCGCCCGTTAGTGAACTTGTTAATGTACGCGGTGGCCACTCCGGGGATACTCAAACACACGGCCATAATGGCGACTCCAGGCAGAATCTCGAACCACATCTCGGCACCGCTACCTAAGCCAAAACCCTACTTTCAGGTCTCTAAAGGTGACCGGGACTCCGTTTTCTTCCCGGTAAGCCCCGCGCAGCCCACAAAGGGGCGGAGCCACGCACCCCGAAGGAAGCCACGGAGTCCGGCAGGGCTCAAGAGTGGCTGGCGCCGGCGCTCTCGCCTTCGCGACTGTATTTCACCAGCCTCTTTTGCTCCGATTGGCTACGGAGCGCGCGACGTGCAGACGTAAAGAGTTCTCGTGAGACCTGGGACGCCGCGGCCGTTTCGGAACTCAAGACTCCAAAATGGCGGAGCAACTTTCTCCCGGGAAGAGTACGGACCAGGTGTGCACCTTCCTATTCAAAAAGCGTGGGCGGAAAGGAGCTGCAGGCCGCAGAAAGCGCCCGATCTGCAACCCGGAGTCCGGGGAAAGCGGTAGCAGTAGCGACGAAGGCAGCACTGTGGTGCGACCGGAGAAGAAGCGGGCGGCCCACAATCCGATGATACAGAAGACCCGTGGCAGTGGTAAACAAAAAGTATCCTATGGCCACCTGAGTAGCGAGGAGGAGGAACAGGGAAATGAGCCCGAGACTCTCGGAGTGGTCTACAAATCCACCCGCTCAGCGAAACCGGTGGGGCCGGAGGATATGGGAGCGACGGCTGTCTACGAGCTCGACACAGAGAAGGAGCGTGACGCGCAAGCCATCTTCGAGCGCAGCCAGAAGATACAGGAAGAGCTGAGGGGCAAGGAGGATGACAAGATCTACCGGGGAATCAATAACTACCAGAAGTACATGAAGCCCAAGGATACATCTATGGGCAATGCCTCCTCCGGGATGGTGAGGAAGGGCCCCATCCGAGCGCCCGAGCACCTGCGAGCCACCGTGCGCTGGGATTACCAGCCTGACATCTGTAAGGACTACAAGGAGACTGGTTTCTGCGGCTTCGGAGACAGCTGCAAATTCCTCCATGACCGTTCCGATTACAAGCATGGGTGGCAGATTGAACGTGAGCTTGATGAGGGTCGCTATGGTGTCTATGAGGACGAAAATTATGAAGTAGGAAGCGATGATGAGGAAATACCATTCAAGTGTTTCATCTGCCGCCAGACCTTCCAAAACCCGGTTGTCACCAAGTGCAGGCATTATTTCTGCGAGAAGTGTGCGCTGCAGCATTTCCGCACCACCCCGCGCTGCTATATCTGCGACCAGCAGACCAATGGCGTCTTCAATCCCGCGAAAGAATTGATTGCTAAGTTGGAAAAGCTCCGAGGTTCAGCAGGGGATGGAGCTTCCGATTTCCCAGAAGACTCTGATGAGGGTCCAATCCCCATTACTTAGGTTTCCCATCATTCTCAAATCTCAAAATAAATATTTTGTCGTTCTTTTGGGAATCTTAATTTGTGTCCTTTCTTTTTAGGGAAAGTGACAGAGAAAGCAGATGATGAAGTAGGGTCCTGGATTAAAAGCTCCAAGGTAGGTATAATGTGGATTTTTAGCCCTAGGAGAAGCGCTTTGCCTGTGTGTCTTTTCAGAACTTTTGGCATATATTATGGGGATAGGAGAAGTTTGAGGAAAGAGCTAGAGTCTGAGCGCAGTAACCAGAGGGGTGATGAAAGCAAGAACTGAACCTGTTATATTTATGTGTAACTTAATAGTTTCCAAAGCACTCACCCCCCCACCCCCACCCCCTTGTTTCTCTTGGGAGGCTGTACTGTTTCAAAATGCACCCACGCCAAGGTGTACTAATGGAAGAAAAATTGACTTGGGTAACTGGTAGCCAGCACCACAGAGTACGTGTATGGGAAATGGCCCTTGCTGTCTTTGAAGCATTTGTAGGTAACCCTCACTTCTGTGGATGATAGAAAAGCTCTATGCTGTGCTATTCAGTATGATAGACACTGGCTTCATGTCGCTGATGAGCACGTGAAATGTGGCTAGGGGCCACATATTGCTCTAGAATTTGTTCTGAATTTGTGAACTTGCAGAGGGTGAAAACTTAATATTTTATGATCCAGTCTGAAAGTGGCTGTGTTCTCACAGACTATAATAGAGCTGAGCACGTCCTAGTAAAGTTAGTTAATATACCTGTCTTCTCAGTTTTTGAACCCCTCAGTGACTAGCCTACTGCTTGGCAAATAATAAGCATGGATTAAATAAGCCTGGAGAGGTTTTAAAAGGGAGATTGGGGCCAGAGCCTTAAATCCAAGTGGAGGAATTTTGATTCTATTCTGTAGGTAATGGGGAGGTAGCAGAGGTTTGGGGATTGCAGGCAGTTGAGTTAGGTCAACTATGATTAGAATCTGGGCTGATCTCAGGAAACAGGTGCAGAAATAAGTTGTGAGAGTGTGTTTTATTCACATTCATTCATCCATTTAAAGCTATTCTTTGAGTAGCTACTCTCAGACTCGGGTTGGCATAGGGGAAACTAGCAGCAAACAAAATAGACTAGCCCTTGCTCCCATGGAACATTAAACAATGATAAGTGTGATGAATACAAGAGGGCACTGGTTTGATCTCAGGATTAATCCAATCTGAGCCTTGGAGGAGGGGTGGGCATTTGCAGTAGTTAAGACACCCACATCCCATATCGGGTTCCTGACCTATCTCTAGCCTCTGCAGCCTCATGCTAATGTAGACCATAGAAGGCAGCAGTGATGGCTCCAGCAATTGGGTTCCTACTACCCATGTGGGAGACCTGGATTGAGTTCCTGGCTCCTAACATTGCTGGCATTTGAGGAGTAAACTAGGAGATGGGAACTCTTCTGTCTCTTTCTGCCTATCAAATGTTTTAAAAATGAAGTATAGGGGTTGGCGCTGTGGCAGAGCAGGTTAAACTACTGCCTGTAGTGCTGGCATCCCATATGGGTGCTGGTTCAAGTCCCGGCTGCTCCACTTCCAATCCAGCTCCCTGCTAATGTGCCTGGAAAAGCAATGGAAGATGGCCCCTGCACCCACATGGGAGACATGGAGGAGGCTCCTGGCTCCTGGCTTGGGTCTGGCCCAACCCTGGCAGTTACAGTCATTTGAGGGGAGAACCAGCAGGTGGAAGATCGCTCACTCTCTCTGACTCTCCCTATAACTATGCTTTTCAAATAAATAATATTTTAAAAAATAAAAATTATGGGGGCAGCACTGTGGTGAAGCGGGTTAAGCTGCCGCCTGTGGTCCCAGCATCCCATATGAGTGCTGGTTCAAGTCCCGGCTGTTCCACTTCAATCCAGCTTTCTGCTGTTGCTTAGGAAAGCAGTACAAGATGGCCCAAGTCCTTGGGCCCCTGCCCCCATGTGGGAGAACCTGAAGAAGCTCCTGGGTCCTGGCTTCAGATTGGCCCTGCTCTGTCTGTTGCAGCCATTTGGGGAGTGAACCAGTGGATGGAAGATTCTCTACTTCTACCTCTGCCTCTCTAACTCTGCCTTTCAAATAAATAATTAAATCTTTTTAAAAATAATTAAGTATAGGGGCTGATGTGGCACAGGAAGCTAAGCTGCTGCCTGTAAAACCAGCACCCAGTATCAGTTCCAGTTTGAATCCTGGCTGCTCCACTTTTTTTTTAAGATTGATTTATTTGAAAGGCAGAGTTACAGAGAGGGAGAGACAGACAGGTTTTTCCATCTGCTGGTCCACTTCCCAGCTCTGACTGTTGCAGATGAAGACCTCTCTCTCTGCCTCTCCTCTCTCTGTGTAACTCTGACTTTCAAATAAATAAATAATCTTTAAAAAAAAAAAAGAGTTAGTGGAGGGGCCAGTGCTTTGGCATAACGGGTAAAGCCACTGCCTGCAGTGCCGGATCCCATATGGGCACCAGTTCAAGTCCCGGCTGCACCACTTCTGATCCAGCTCTCTGCTATGGCCTGGGAAAGCAGTGGAAATGATCCAAGTACTTGGGCCCCTGCACCTGCGTGGGAGACCCAGAAAAAACTCCAGGCTGCTGGCTTCAGATCAGCTCAGTACCAGCTGTTGAGGCCACTTGGGGAGTGAACCAGAGGATGGAAGACTTTTCTCTCTGCCTCTCTGTAACTCTACCTTTCAAATAAATAAAAAAAAAAAGTAGAGCAAAGCTTTATAGAAAAAGATAAACTTTGAATTATTCTCTTTTTAACTGGGTTCCTGCTACCATGTGGGAAGCCTAGATTGAATTCCTGGTTCCTGATGTTGCAAGCATTTGAGGTACAAAACTAAGAATGGAATCAATCCCCTCTCTGTCTCCTTTTGTATCTCTCAGCCTCTCAAGTAAGTTAAATTACATAAGCTGAGAGAAAAGCTTCTAAGAGAAAACAGGAGGAAAGGGAAGGAATGCATTAACTAATAATTTCTAGAAAGTAGGATTGAGAAGGAATGGAATTAAGAACATCAATTAGCCCTTTTTATTTGAGAGAGTGACAGGGGAGTTGAGATACAGATCTTCCATCTGCTGGATCCCTCCCCAAATGGGCACACCAGAACTCCATCCAGATCTCACACATTGAGCCATCTTCTGCTTTCTCAAGCACATGAGCAGGGAGCTGGAGCCAAAGCAGAGCAGCCGGGACTCAAAGCATTGCTCTGATGTAGGATGCTGGCTTTGCAAGTGGCAGCTTAACCTGTTGTGTCATACTGATAGCCCCATCAGATAGTTTTTATTTTGTTTTTTTGTTGTTTTTTTTTTTTGTTGTTTTTTAGTTTTTTGACAGGCAGAGTGGACAGTGAGAGAGAGAGACAGAGAGAAACGTCTTCCTTTTGCTGTTGGTTAACCCTCCAATGGCTGCCGCAGCCGGCGCACCACACTGATCCGAAGGCAGGAGCCAGGTGCTTCTCCTGGTCTCCCATGGAATGCAGGGCCCAAGCACTTGGGCCATCCTCCACTGCACTCCCGGGCCATAGCAGAGAGCTGGACTGGAAGGGGGATAACCCAGACGGAATCCAGCGCCCCGACCGGGACTAGAACGCGGTGTGCTGGTGCCGCTAGGTGGAGGATTAGCCTATTGAGCTGCGGCGCCAGCCTCCATCAGATAGTCTTAAAAGAGCTGAGAAAAAAAAAGATATTTGTCAGCTATTCCATGTAAGGTTTACTTATTTAAGAGAAACAAAGTGCTTCATGTCACTCTACAAATGTTGCAATGGGCAAACAAGGGGAGGCTGAAGCCAGGAGCTGAAGATTCAGTCCAATTCTCCCATGTGGGTGGCAGGAACCCAACTACTTGAGCCATCACACTGCTTCCCAAGATTTGCATTATCAGGAAGCTGTAGTTGAGAGTGAAGCCAAGGCTTGAACCCAGGCATGCCAATATAGGTACAGGCATTCTAACTGGTATCTTAAATGCTAGGCCAGAGGCCTACCCCCCTATTGAAAAGCAGAGTGGGGGCTGGCGCTGTGGCGTAGCGAGTAAAGCCACCGCCTGCAGTTGCCAGCATCCCATATGAGCACCGGTTTGAGTCCCAGCTGCCTCACTTCCAATCCAGCTCTCTGCTGTGGCCTGGGAAAGCAGTGGAGGATGGCCCAAGTCCTTGGGCCCCTGCACCCACGTGGGAGACCCGGAAGAAGCTCCTGGCTCCTAGCTTTGGATTGGCACAGCTCCTGCCATTGCGGCCATCCGGGGAGTGACCCAGCGAGTGGAAGACCTCTCTCTCTCTCTCTGTGTAACTCTGACTTTCAAATAAATAAATGAATTTTTTTTTAAAAAGGCAGAGTGTTATGCTGGTTCATTTCCCAAATGCTTGCAACAGCCAAGGCTGAACCAGGCTGAAGCCAGAAGCCAGCATTGTGATATGGAATGTGCTTAACTCTTTGCACCACAACACTCGCCCCTCATTTTCTTCTTTTTTTTTTAAAGATTTATTTATTCATTTGAAAGGCAGAGTTATAGAGAGGCAGAGGCGGAGAGAGTGAGAGAAGTCTTCCATTTGCTGGCTCATTCCCCAAATGGACACAATGGTCAGAGCTGGGCCAGTCAGGAGCCAGGAGCTTCTTCCAGGTCTCCCATGTGGGTGCAAGGGCCCAAGGACTTGGGCCATCTTCTTCTGCTTTCCCAGACCATAGAAGAGAGCTGGATTGGAAGCGGAGCAGCCAGGACACCAACCAGCATCCATATGGGATGCCGGCACTGCGGGTGGTGGCTTTACGAGCTATGCCACAGCGCCGGCCCCTTTCCTTTTCCTTAATTTTTATCTACTTCTGTGAGAGGGAGCATAACAGAGAGAAAGTTCGTCCATGTGCTAGTTCACTCAACAAATAGCCACAACAGCCAGGTCTATGCCAAGCTGAATTCGTGAACTACATCCAGGCCTCCCACATGGGTGGCAGGGGCCCAAGCACTTGGGCCATACTCTGCTGCCTTCCCAGGAGCACTAGCAAGAAACTGGATTGGAAGTAGAGCAACCACACCTAGAACCAGCACTGGGATATGGGATGCCAGTGTTG